AGTGCTTGCCATCCCTCATTTACCACCACTGAGGTGCCCTTGAGCAAGGCCCATAACCCGAACAGCTCCAGTGGAGTGGAGTGCTTAGTGGCCAGCAGACCAGGCTGTAGTTGTACTGGGCAGCTTTCAGGTGTGAATGTGTCCTGCAAAAGAGAGGCTTCCTCTCAGTGAAGCTCCCCTGAATAAATAAAAGTTAAACTTTTTTTTTTTTTTATCTCACTGTCTCAGGAAAGGGTTTCCACCTGCTTCAAGACAGCCAAAATCGTCCCTGTACCTAAAAAGTTAGAATGCTGTTTATGGATTTCAGCTCAGCATTCAACACAATCTCCCCCATGAAACTGATCAGCAACCTCAGCACTCTGGGTTTAAATACAACACTCCTCCTCAGACAGTTCGGATTGGCGGACAAACCTCCTCCAGTCTAGCACTGGAGCCCCCCGTGCTTTGTGCTTAGCCCCCTCCTGTTCAGACTGTACACCCACGACTGCATCCTCCAACACGGAGAGAGTTCTGTTGGTGGTTATAGCTGTCCCCTCACAGCAAGAAGGTCGCAGGTTCAAACCCCGGGTTGCCCCGGCCTTTCTGTGTGGAGTTTGCATGTGTGTGGGTTTTCCCTGGGTGCTCTGGTTCCCCCCACCATCAAAAACATGTTAGGTAGGTTCTCCAGACAGTGCTGTTTGACCTGGTATGGCATTTCAATCTGGAACTGGTCCCCGGGTGCTGTAGCTGCCCACTGCTCCCTTCAGGGATGGGTTAAATGCAGAGGATGATTTCGCTACAATAAAGTACGTTCTTCTTCTTGTGAAATCGGCGGACGACACCACCATCATCGGTCAGATTTCAAACAATGGTATGGTATGATGTCAATCCGAGTCTTAAGTAAATGAAACTGAGCAGAAGTTCTTACTTTATTGCATGCACATTTTTGGGATTATCAAAATTCTTTAACTTTTGATCATGAGAGTTCATAGATTCTACTTGCAAAGTACTGTGTGGATTGGACTCACTGCCCAGGATGAGTTTGGAAATGTAAGTTTTGCACATTTCAGCTGGAAATGGTTGTGTTCTATATCACGATATGCCGCTACAACGTGCAGCGTACTGTGACAGGCCAAGAGACATTTACCTTGATTACAGCACAATGGGCGTCTGCTGTGTGTGCACCTTTCTATACCACCTCAGTCTAACAGTAATTTAGAAAAATCATTTGTGCAACAGTGTGGCCCCAGCCCCCTGGGTTTGGACCCCTAATGATATGGGACAAAATGGGAATTAGATATGAAAGTCAGATTGTTTTCTGTAAACACCGTAAAGTTTCTAAAAGCACAGAGTGGTGCTTTCAACTGGGCTGGAACAATGCTGATTGTCATCCTCAGATTTATAACAACCACTTCATTGTTTCTGAAATATAGCCTAACATGCAGATCATTGTAGGTTGGAATGAGAATGTTCTCTCCATGAAATACTCCAGAATCATAGTTACAGTTGTTCCAGAGAGGTGTGGCAGTACTTCACTTGTTTCCTCCTGGAGTTGGTTTATTTCTTTGTAAATTTGATGCTCAAGTGTGCTCGTAGTGGATCAGATGTACAACCAGGCTAGGCCAGTTAAGCCTGGTCCCCACCTTCACCAGCTTTTTAAACTTTGACAAAAAAATACTCCATTAACTTTCTATTATAGTCAATTAGTTTGCAATCAAAAACTTGTCTGGAGACGGTCAAGAGTCGGTGCAAAAGAGTTTATTCCAATACAGGACAGATAAATCTGTACAACATCCCAGCAGGTCGGAGGATGGAGTCAATCCTGTGGTCTGCAGGCCTTATATATCCCCCTCTGGGCTGGTTTGCCCCCTTCTCTCCTTATGGTGAACTTCTTATCCTCTGCTGTCATGCTGCTTACATGTGTTGCTTTACCAATTAACACTGTTTTCCAGCTGTTATTCATTACTGTGTTGTTGATTTTCTATATTTTTACATTACTGGATAACAAGTTCACCATTACATTTCAACTTCAGTCTCACCGTATTTTTTAAAAGTTATACATGCATAATTTGAAACAATTGTATTTCTTAAAAAATTAATACAAAAATTGTCACAAAACGCTGAGTGAGTGCAGCAGGAGTGAGCCCAAATGCAAGACACTTGTGAGCTGAGATGGAGTTCAGGGTTTATTAATCCAACGCAGAAAACAGGCAGAACAAAACTCACTGGAACAGGAACTGGCAACATCCAAAAAGCAGGGCAGGGCAGGGCAGGGCAGGGCAGGGCAGGGCAGGGCAGGGCAGGGCAGGGCAGGGACGGGACAGACATGCAACAATGACCGGACAGGGAAAGAACAGAAACACCAGAAATTTATACACAGGGACTAACGAGCAGGGCGGGAGCAACACAGGTGACTGGGATCAGGGTTAACGAGGCAGAGAGAAAGAAGGGGAAAACAGAGAGACTGGATGGCAGGCAGATTACTGGAGGTGTGCAGACATAACACAAGTACTGAACACTAAACAAATCAAAGTAAGAAGAAACAGATCAGAATATTGAAAACAACAAACTAATCCAGATCACAACTAAACAACAAGGAACACAGACCGAAGCTAAGACTTGAACAGAACTCAAACAGACATGGGCAAAACACAGAAGTACACAGACCAGGAGTGAACACTAAGACAAGAGCTAAGGTACAGGACTAAGAACTAAGATACGAGGCAAGACAGATACTAAGTAAGATGTGGATGAATAATAAAGGCTAAACAGAGACTAGAGCTGAATGATCAAAATCAGATTATTGAAACTGGCAGAGAACATAAATGACACCTAACCAACAGACGGAACCCAAGCATGATGGTGGGAAATTAACGCATGAGGGACAGGAACAGAACAGTACTAAAGGCTGACACCGAGATAACAGGACAGATCAGAACCACCACACAGAACGAGCAGAAGACTGGATACAAGACCACAGACAGACAGGACTGAAACCCAGACACAGAGAAAGCAAAATCAAAACACCGAGAAGGCATGGCCAAAATAATATAACACAGACAAGCTCAGAACAGGATCGTGACAAAAATAACATATGTAGTGCTGTATCTTTCATTAATGCTTGGTTTCTTACAGTAATCTTGATGTTGTGCTGGCTGTGCATAGTCTCAGTGTCTGCAATCAGTGCTCCCACTCAAGGATCTAACCACAGTTTTTCTTAGAGGTGCCTACCTGTGCTAAATGTCACTACCCATATATATGTATATATGTAGATGCAAATTAATATTTTTATTATTAAATAAAATTGCAAAACAAGGAGTAGCTCCAGTAACTTTCTCAGTTTTGTTTTAATTGGGAGCAGTTTTGGCCAATAAGCAATATTGTTATTAGTGGCATTTAGTTCAGCGTTACCTAAGTTACATGTTTTGGCAAAAATATAAACAGCTTCCTTTGTGTAACGAATTTTTTATTTTTTATTTATTCTACTGTAATTCACCATAAACATATTTTGGTATATACAAAAATTGTCAGTATCGATACTAGTCAATTTTCAGAATACAAAGCCGTGTACAGTGACAAACTCCATTATGCTCCATATCTGCATAATGTGCAACAAGTTACCTATTAGAAAGTGTCCAACATGATGTGCATATTAAATTTCACAAGGCATACTGCTCATGAACTTCAGCTTGACGATGTCTGTCAGGTTTTAAATTTCACTGGCTTTATATTATGTTGAAATGCTCACATTTTTCAATTTGTATTGGAACATAACACAATTTGAAAATAACTGCATGATTTCACATGAGACATTTTACAGATATTGTAAAGCATTTACTTTCTACGCTGTAATCAGTAGTTGCACTGAAGAACTGCAACCCAGTGTAAGTCTTGTAGTGTCGTACATCATGGAGACGCGTGTCAGTTATCTTCAGCCTTCTGTAATTTAGTGTACTAAGAGAAAATGCTTGCTCCTCTATGTATGTAGAGCTACATAAACTGAGCAGGCTTTTGGTATGTTGCCTCATCTGGGCTTTTCCAAATCCCTGTAGAACTCTGACAGTGGGAGCTGCTGGTGGCAGTGTTTGAAATTTTGGTTATGTGGTCTTCAGCTCTAAAAATTGTGATGAAGTATAACCCAAAAGGGTTTTGGCCACGACACCATGATTCCCTTCTTTGGGATAAAATGAAACACAATCTGATCGTAAATTATGTAGATCCACAGTGACTGACTGTGCTCATTGTGGATCTTGCAAACTTTTCAGCTACTTGATAGTTACTGTATGTCTCATGCATACTTGTGTCCTTGCAAAACATGTCATCAAAATGACATCAACTTTGTGAAAGCATAAAGAAAAACAGAATGTAAACTGACAGGCATCACCTATTGTTCCACTTCCAAGGCAACTTGTTTTGAATAGTTTGCGGTTTAACATGACTGCTTTTCCTTATTATGTAACAGCATAACTTGCACCATTGACAAAAACATTTGAATAATTTGAGCAAGTGCCTGCTTATAAATATGAGCCTCAGTTCCTCAATCAGCTTATTGCATGTCTGTATTGCACCCAGCAAGATGACAGAACTTTAGAAATCTCAGACATTCCTTTCAAACAAGGCAGTGTCCTACTTTTTCATACTATAACTAGTTGTAGAGATGATCGGTAGAGACATTGCACTAGAAGCTTTGGGCATACTCCTCAATGCCAATGTAACTTCTGTACAAAATGCAGGATCAAAATCTGGTTTTAACGGAGATGTAGACTTTTGAGTTAGTGCAGCTTTAAATTTATGCCTGATATCTTTAGTTCAACCCATTTTACTCTTTGATGATATCACGGGTCAGTTTTACTTTTGCAAGTTTTTTACAATATCTATCCATTGCAAATCTTGTGAACTATATACCCACATAAGATCGACTGCACACATTCATAACAATTATGTTGCTCTTCATCATTAAAATCACAAAAAGCAGAGGTCAACAAAAAATTCTGTTGTCACACATAAACATTTTGTCACAGGTCCTGGATAAGTATGGTGAAAATACCTGGCTGGGAAACAGACGCCGAAGCACAGAGTCAGTGCCAGGAGAGTGGCCTGTGTCCTACCATGGGACATCAAAGGAAGGTGCTGAAGGCATCATCGAAGGATTCTACAAGGTTCGATAATATATCAATTATTAGTAAAATGTAACACCTTTGTAACTGCAGTACTGAGTTACACATACAATTCTAACATTATTAAGGTATGATACGTGAGACTCCAACCTTGAAATAGGCTTTGCCCATCTTTGTGGTATTCTGGGCACATGTGGCCTTTACTACAAAGGGAGTTTAATCTACTCAGACTTAACTCAGGGTTATCAAGCAAACTCAGGGTTGACAAACTCTGACCGCCTATGCTGGTGTTAAACGGTGAATAAGATGTTAGTTGAGTCGGTGTTAACTTCATTGGAGTTGGTGAGCATTTGCATAAAAGGGGCGGGGTTCGGCCAAGCAGGTAGAGTTTTTTTGCAACGGCGCATGCTCTGTATTTTCACCAGAAGAATGCGCATTAATTGTGTCAGAATATGAGGAGTTTAACGGCTAAATCTAACACCCGTGGGGCCGACTAAGTCAGGGAGGCTTGTTGGCATCGCATTGAGTAAATTTGTAATCACCTTCACAGTATTCTTATTTTAGGCTAATACTCTATTTTGTACTTCTTCTCTCATGTGCAATATGATTAAGATGTAAAGTTACATTGTAATAAAAAAAATGGAGCCATGGGAGAGGGGAAAAGAATTTCCAAGATAAATGTGGTTGATTTGAGAAACTAATAATCACAAATCTACAAGTTAAAAACTTGAATATCTCTCACAATATAGTCATACATTTATGAGAGAAGACTTTGCCGTGGATTAGGCGTATTCAGAAGAAAACACCAGAATGATTTGGATTTGTAGTGACTTTAATTTCAGGGAATTTCCCATTTTTGTTATTTTTATATTGTAATCCCGACGTTACACGTCAAGTTACCTGGATAAGCCAGTGACCTCACTTTGTAATACAAGCCACTGGTGTAAACAGGTGGGAGACTTATTTAAATGAGGCAGTGCAAAGCGAGTTGTTGGTGTTTTGATGAAATATGGGTCTTGAAAGTTGTGCTGAGAATAGACGTCTCAGAACCAAGTCTGTACCTGGCGCAATGTAAATCCAATGATTTTGTCAGCAAGAGCAAACTAAATGCTGGAAGTAAATGTGCAGCAACAACAGAATAATGCTCAAAACAGGAACATCAGTAAAGCAGTCTGCATTTATCTATAAATGAATTAATAATTAACAGTTTCTGTATAGCTGAATCATACTGTATGAAATGGTTTGAGCCACAGTGATTTTAAACTAAAACTTAAAGCATTTAACATAAAATAACAAAATGTCTGTTTGGAGTAGCTTTACTCAAGAAATATGCTTGTTAATCACAAAAAAATCACAAATCAGAAAAAAGTCTTACATCAGAGAATATCAACAAGAAGGAGATCATGATGGTGTTTGTATTTCCGTACAACCACAAAAATCTTTTAACTGTTTGTAGCGTGTTACAATTACTGCATATCTATAAACCTAGTGATATAATCAAAGAGTTAAAAACAATATAATTGAACATTAATACATTCTAATTATTATTTATTTTTAATGGACGATGTCAGCGATGAACTGTCTGGAGTAACTTGTCTTAATAAATATGCTTTTTAAAACTAAAAATTGTTTGTGAACCATCACAATGTTAATAAATTCAAATTCTTATTTCTTTTTAACAGCCAGGATCAGGTGATGTGTATGGCAGGGGGATTTATTCTACTCCAAACATCACTGAAGCGAGAAAATACGCCAAGAAATTCACCTCCAAAAATGATGGCAAGAGATACAAAGTGGTTCTGCAGAATCGGATCAACCCTGCATACAGAAAGAAACACAGAAAGAACAGAGATTACTGGCTGGTTCCCATCTCAAAGGGGAAATCGGTGACAGAAGTGCAGAAGATGGTAGAGAGGGCCATCCGTCCTTATGGCCTTCTGGTGAAAGAGGTCTAACAGGGCGAGAAAGGTCACAAGAAAACCCACAAATTTGGCCATGTATTTTTTTGGTTAGCTTTATTTTGAAAAGAAAGTGAGTGTGTTGTCTTTAAAGCATAAACTGTATCATTGCAAATCCATACAAAATATTCTGATGTTGTCAGAAACAATGATGTCTCATTTGAATATATAGATATATAGATGTAAAATTAATATCACAGCTTCATTTAGTGTGAATATCCTGTACTGAAATTTCTTCTTCCTTTGTTCCATTTTTTAATAATCCATTTTTGAATTTAATAAACACAATTAAAACAGATTTGATATCAGAGTCTGTCCATACCAAAGAGAACACAGTGGGTGAATGTTTCATTCATTCATTATGCTTGTATGCTTTTCTATTTAGCAAAAGCATTTAATTTAAAATGCAGAAGAAAAAGCAATCTTGTCCTTGAGAATTGAGTCAAACTTTACTATTATTTACTGTATTGGCATATTTGTGAATAGTCTTCTGGTTCAGTACCAAAGTATTATCCACCGACAGCCAAGGGAGAGAAGGAGGTCCCAGGACAGCCGATTGTCCAGCACAGGAAAGCCTCATAAGAGAGGACACGGGAGGAGAAAACATTTAGACAGAGAAAGAAATACAGGCTCACAGATTAAACAACAAAAAAAGAGGTATGGAGAGATGCTAAAAGGTTTGATTAATAGCTATTATTATGGTAAGTTTTAGTTACTCGCACATTGTGCTCGTAAAAAAATTTTCTGGTTTGCACGTAACGATTTTTAGGGACACAGGTGGGCAAAATGAAATGTAAGTTCAAGGAAATACCAAATACATAGGGCTCTATGCATCATACCTAACTTATGTTAAAATTGTATGTTTAACTCAGTAATGCAGTTACAAAGGTGTTACATTTTACTGGATTAACATTTACCATTTATAGGACTAATAATTGATATATTATCGATAAATTTGCATTAAATAGTGAAATTCCTAAGATGAGTTTACATCCAACAGACATTTGACAATTAAGAATTTGAATTAAGAATTAAGAAAAAAAGTTTTTTGCTGAGCCTTTTTTTAATAAGACTATGATTCTGTGACACAAGACAGCTGTTAGTTTGTTAGAGCAGGTCCACTAAAATGTTTATTGCTCTCAATCTGAAATCTCAGTTTAAATTATAAAAATCTGTATTTGCCAGCCCCTGCCCCATTTCCACACTGCTTCTATCTGACTGGAATGAGTCTTTATTTCCTCTCAGGAACTGATTTAGAATATTTGTGAGAGCTAAATATTGTACGATCAAGAAATTCAAATACAGGCTCTTAACAACATTCAATGCCATGCAGTGATACATTATCTAGATCATTTCCCACGATGCATATGTAACCGCTTTAGTATTATGTTGTTGAAGGGTCAGTAACATTACTAAAAACACAAATATACAAACAAAGGAAAAGATTTTCTCAGTTACCTCTACTGGTATCAAACTATGCAGATAGTTGTGGAGGGTGAAAGCAGTATTGTTACTAGTCTTTTTCCAGAATTTAAATTTTTGAAATACGACAGCCTGTGCCCTTTGTTCTGTTGAGTTGACTGACAGGCGCAGCTGTCTTGTTAAATACGCACTCTGTGATCCATCTCCTGGATAATGCAACAGACTGACTGGCTATCTTTAGAAAGTGTTGCATGTGAATTTAAAGACACCCAGCAAACTTAGGTTAACTTTGTACAGTGTCTTGATTTAAATCAATAATCAATAGACTCTTCACACATGTATAAAGGCGTGAACAATAACCTTATTTGGACACAGTGAATCTCTTTAGATCTAAGACGGAAAAATATCCTGTCCTCCTGGATTGACAGGGGTTGTTAGTGCTTTCACCCACTGGAGGGCAACAACGACTAGTTCAGAATCAGAAATCAGAATTAGAAATACTTTATTGATCCCCGGAGGGAAATTCTGTGTCAGAGTTGCACACATTGCACAAAGGTCAAAAGGAATGTAAATAAAGATAGAAAGTTGGTATATAAAGAAGTATATAAATATCAGAGTAAAAATATATAATACAAGAAAATATATAGGAGTGTGGATATGTACAACATTTACATAATTAAAATAATTGTTATGGGGAACAGTAATAATGAATAAATAGTAGCAGCAGAATTACAGCAGAGAGAATTACACATTAAGTATTTAAACAGATATTATTGCACAAAACAGATAATAATGTCCAGTTTAACACTAACTAAGTGTCCGTGTGTCTGACACTTAGTAGGAGGAGTTATAAAGTTTGATGGCTACAGGCAGGAATGACTTCCTGTGGCACTCTGAGGTGCATTTTGGGAGAATAAATCTTGCAGTGAAAGTGGAGTGGGTGGGAGACATTGTCCAAGATGACATGTAGTTTAGACAGCATCCTCCTCTCTGACACCACCGACAGAGAATCCAGCTCCACTCCCACCATGTCACTGGCCTTGCGGATCAGTTTGTTGAGTCTGTTAGCGTCCCTCACGGCTTTGGCCCTTCCTGTAGAGGGCTTGAGTGTTCTTGGCCCAGTCCAGTTTATTGTCCATGTGCACTCCCAGGTATTTGTAATCCTCCTCAATGTCCACAGGGACCCCCTGGATGGAAACAGGGGTCACTGGTGCCTTGGCTCTCCTTAGATCCACAACCAGCTCTTTAGTCTTTGTCATGCTGAGCTGTAGATGGTTCTGCTTGCACCATGTGACAAAGTCCCCCACTACAGCTCTGCACTCAGCCTCGTCACACTTGCTGATACATCCAACCACGGCAGAGTCATCAGAAAACTTCTGAAGATGGCAGGACTCTGTGTGGTAGTTGAAGTCTGTGGTGTAGATGGTAAAGAGGAAGGGAGAGAGGACAGTCACCCGCTTGTTCAGGTGGGCGTAGATGCGGTAGAGCAGGAAGATGATGGCGTCCTCAACTCTCAGTCGGGGCTGGTAGGCGAACTGGTGCGGGTCTCATAATGTGGGAGGTCAGTGCCACAGGTCTGTAGTCCAAAAAGAGAAGGGGAAGGGGACATTCTCTGCATTTAACCCATCCTATTAAGGAGCAGTGGGCTGTCATCGTACGGCGTCCGGGGAGCAGTTCAGGGTTCAGGGCCTTGCTCAGGGGACACCCTCTCTTACCATTTAAGCACATGCAGTCATGGACAAACATTACTTCCCCGAAATTCTTTGGCACTTTCAAATGTTTGTTTCTTTTGTTTGCATTGGAACAACTAGACATTTGATAGAACAACCTAGGGAAAAACAATTTGAAATCAATCCTCTGTAGTGGAAACCCTATTTTAAACCCTTTTTTCACTGCCCCAGCTGAGCAGAAGAAAACCCCGAGGAGCCTGGGAAGAAAATCTGTATACTATGGTTTATTAAAATAATACACAGATGGCCGTGGTGAGATTTTGATCTCATCCAAATCAACAAATTTTTAGATCTTGAAAAATATCCTTTCTTGCCCACACCTTTTCATGTGAGAAGCTCCTTCCTTGGGCAATCAGTAACTCCAAAACATTGTCAGCAATCTTATTTTCTCACTGTTGTAACACAAACCTCCTCATATATCAAAACTGTTGCTCTGTTCTGTCCAAAAATAGGAAACTTCAAAGAGCAGAGGAGCTGGACAAATCCTGGCTGAGCTTCAAAATGTATCTCAGATCCACACAAAATTAACCATATTTCAACATTCATCAGTGATCAGTACCTTGGATGTCTCTAAACACAGAACACAGAATTGGTGAGAAAATATGTTTTTGCAATTTGGGTAACTAATCACAGGGTGTAAGTTTCATATACAGTTTCCACTAAACCACTATTGACAAGTAACAAGATGTTTTGAACCTACATTTACACTGATTTTTGGAATAAATGTAATGTATGTAACTTTCATTTTCAACCTCATGTGAGTGCTAAATAGAATAACAAAATCTGATTTTAAACGCTCATATTAAGTGAAATTTTACTCCTACACACAAACTTCGGAATAAAAGCTTTTTTTATTGTTCTGTCTGTGTGCATTAATATAACATTTATTTCTCTGTCTTCACGTTTTCTCCTACCGTGTCCTCTCTTGTGAGCACTGAGGCTTTCCTGTGCTGGACAATTGGCCCTCCTGGGACCTCTCTCTCTCCCTTGGCTGTCGGTTGATAAAGCCAGATAGTTTTCATCTGGACCTTCTTCCTCCAAGAGACTTTTGATACGTACAAACAAAGTAAATACAAATAGGCCAATATAGTAAATGTGGTTGTTTGACACAAGTTTGCTTTTTCATCTGTATTTCAAATTAAATGCTTTTGCTAAATAGAAAAACACAATATAATGAAGCATTTACCCACTGTGTTCTCTTTGGAATGGAGAGATGCTGATATCTGTTTTAAATTGTGTTTATTAAATGCAGAATAGCTTTTCCCCCCCAGCACATTCATCTATATATTCAAATGAAACATTACATTTGACAACATCAGAGTATTTTTCATGGACTAGCAATGACATAGTTATGCTTCAAAGACAACCCACCCACTGTCATTTCAAAATAAAGCAAAGGAAATAAGTGTTCAAATTTGTGGGTTTGTCTCGCCCCGTTAGACCTCTCTCAACAGGAGGCCATAAGGACGGATGGCCCTTTCTACCATCTTATGCTCTTCTGTCACTGATGTTCCTTCCGGGATGGAAACCAGCCAGTAATTGTCGTTGTTGTGTTTCTCCCTGTACTCGGGGTTGATACGATTCTGCAGAATCACTTCGTACATCTTTCCTGTCTTTTTGGAGGTGAATGTTTTGCTGTAGATTTCCGCTACAGAGATGTATGGAGTAGAATAAATCCCCCTGCCGAACATCTTACGATCACCTGGCTGTTAAAAAGAAATAAGAATTTGAATGTATTAACGTTAATAATATATTGACTTTAAGTTTTTGATTATCATCAGGGTTTGTAGATATGCAGCAATTCAAATACAATACAGTTGAATACAATATTTCTTTGTGGTTATACGACAAATAGAAACACAATCTTGATCATCTTCTTGATGTAAGACTTTTTTGTAATGGTTAAAAAAAGTGTTTTTAAAAAACTTACTTATACTGTAGAGTTACCCCAACAGTAGGGGAGAGGTGCCATTTATTTTGAATATGGTTTTCTCCTGTTTTCTTGTCCATGAGTCAGGTTAAGTATGTGTTGTTTTTTTATCTTTTTGTATTTACTTTGTTAGGGTTAATTATTTGGGATGGGAAAAGGTGGTTTTGTTTGTTATTTTGGCCTAGCGCTCCCTGATGTCTGGGTTTTCTATATAAGCTGTAAATAAATCCATGTATTAACAGACTGAATATTCCATTGTACTTTGATGATTATTGGGGAGTGGGGAAAAGAGAGGAGACATCATGTTGCGCTCAGGTTTCCCCTAGGCGTAACAACTTAGTAGTGCAGTTACAAAGGTGTTACATCCTACTGGATTAACATCACTGATAATAATTGACATATAAATGATTGAACCTCGTAGGATCTTTCGATGATGCCTTCAGCACCTGCCTTTGATGTCCCATGGTAGGACACAGGCCACTCTCCTGGCACTGACTCTGTGCTTCGGTATCGGTTTCCCAGCCAGGTATTTTCATCATACTTATCCAGGACCTGTAATAAAACAATCACATGACATCAGAAGTTTTTGTTGGTCTCTGCTTTTTCGTGATTTTAAAGCACTGACATCAATTGTTGTAATGTAACATGGGCAGTTGACCAAATGTAATTGTAAAGTTTAACCGACCCATGATATCGATGGAAAAGATATCAGGCCTGCTTTGACTGTACTGACTGGAGTGTTTTTGAGGCTGCAGCCACCCACCTGGACAAACTAACTGACACTGTGACATCAGTTTTTTGTGATTTGTGACGTGTGTGCCATCTAAATTCGAGCGCAGGCAGAGCCACTGGCTCCCGGGCCCCATGAACCCTCAAAGTAGTGGGCAGCACCGGCCATGCTCCCAAGAAACCTACGTACATTGTGAGAGAGCTGGCTGGGGGCAGCGCCGGGAATCCTACCCCCGCCAAAGAGGAGAGGTGACAATGGATCCCGGGACCAGGGACACGACACTCGCCCCAGATATGAGCAGAAGCCCCAGGGCCCCAGACTTTTTGAAAGCATTTGTTAATTATGTTCTGAAAAATAGCTTGCAACAAGAAATGTGAACTAACAAATGAAAATGCTTTGAGAAAGTTTTATTTGCACAATAAAAAAAACATTCAATGCAATTTAAATATAGAAAAAACAAATGTGCATTGTCTACAACTTACAGCTGATCACTGCATTGTATTCTGTTATATTTTTATATTTATGAATTGTCACCTGCCAGAATGTTTTGCACTTGCATTTACACTGTAAATTGGAGCAGGAAATGTCTCCAGAATGCAGGAAGTATTTAATGCTCCAATTTTCTGGAGGAAAAACCCTCATATATTTATGCATTTCATATTTCTTCAAAATAGTGTTAATAATCTTCTTTTGTTATTCTCCTGTATTGTCACATCTCCTAACCCAAGTATTTCATCACGCCCCTAATCTGAGCCCTTCTGTCCCCACCATTTTTTTCAACACAAAGTGTTGGGTGTGAGGGAACTGGAGCCTCTCCACTACCTGCCAGTGTTTCTCTGTCTGCAGAATCTGGACCTTATGTGGCCCATTCTCCGTTCAGACCTGCCAAACTGCTGCGTTTATATAATGTGTTAATATTTCTTTGTTCCTCTCTCTGTGCTGGAGTTCTTTTAAGAACTTGGTGGCTTGATCCAGATTATTATTGAATTGGTTGAATTTTAATGAGTGTGTTTATTCACGTAGTGGATCAAGCTTATTACTTCTATATACGCAAATCTGTTATTAATATTTTACTCATGGATAAGGATGTTAAGCTACTGTATGAATGAGCACTTTAGAGCACTTTCTGTGGCTGGTCTGGTTGTCTGGTCTGATTGAAAGATTGTGAAAATGGAAGGATTTAGGTGAATTTGTGCATTATACTTTGTCAGTTAAAGCAAGCCAGGCAGCCTTCAGTGTTTGAGAACGGCGCTGTTTTTTAATCGCCCACTAGAGGGCTGCAGCGCCACAATAACCAGCCTAGTTCAAATGAACGAAATGACTCAAAAAAAAGATTAGTTCATTTTAATGACCGAGATTTGAAGATTCGAGTCTGTCAAAATTTGCGTTACACCAGCCCCAAAAGTTCGTCGGCCCACCGGTCATTTGCCCGGTATGCCAGATAGTGATGCGCCATCTCACTTTATTCCTATACCATCCAATACCAAGTAATTTCCAGGCTGGTATTGCCGATACCAATACTAATATATTTTTTAATTCTCGTTTAATGTGACCACCCCTCCCGTTTCTGTAGGCTATATATGATGGAAATAAATAGTACACCAAAGGCTTACCAATTCCAAATAATAGCTGCATAATGACAAGACATCAAACTACTGACATATTCTTTACTTTTATTAAAAATATTCTGTTCAGAACAGCTGCTTCATAACATCATCATATTATTTTGACTTAATCTCAGATGTTTTAGGACGTTTGCCAAAGGATTTCACTGTCTTTGCACACACGTCACTAACAGCCTCATTACCTTCATGGCAAGTGACTGCTCAGAATTGTATCACGGGAAATGCAAAGGGCTGCACACAGAGCCATAATGCAGTCATGACTTTGACAGGCGGAAGGAACCAGTAAGATATATACTGGCTCCAAATGACTGTATTTAGATATAGATCCTTTTATGTGAGTAGTTATCGATCCTAGAGCAGGAAACGTCGGTCAAACGTTAGTATGCATCCGCAGATTACCAATCCATCCCTACTACGGACAATTCAGCAGTCCGTGGCAAGCGCTTTTCTCTCTCTCTCTCTCTCGCTGTCTGTCGCTCTCTCTCTCTGTCTCTCTCTTCTTGTGCTCTCTGCAGGCATTCAATCTACTGCTTGGACAGAGGACCCAACGATTTCATCATTAATTTCAAGGGCTTTAATGCATGACGAATGATAGATGAACAGATTTGGGTATTTAGCCTATTTGTTATTATTATTTATGGAAACGTTTTCTACATTCAACAAAATTTGCAGTCGTGTTTCACAAATAAACTGGACGGAAACTCTGGGATTAAATGTCAAGTAAAACAAAAGCATATTTACCTTGAGGGCAAAACGCTGCCATCCACATGGGCGTTGATACACCTCTCCTCCTCTGTAATAGTTCTTGGTGTCTTTCAAATTGGTGAAATCATAGTCGAATCCTGGATGAAAGAATTCATCTTCGTTGATGAAGTGATTTCTTTCGAATACTCTTTCAATATCCACGTGGTTCTCTGGGGCAGAGTCTGTTGCCGGTCCATCACCTTGCAAGATGCTTCGGAGCTGGACAAAGTGGGATCTTGACACCGGGCTGTAATGGAAGGGGAGGAAATGATATTTCAAAGCACATTAGTCTCTTCTTGCAGTCAGTCACATCTGAATTATATCTACACAGCTGTTCACAACTCATTCTGTAAAGATTTCCAAACTCTCGGCTGAATAATGTATAAAACCGTAGTGTGTAAAATTTTCAGAAATCTCTTCTCCGTGCACAGATTGTATCAAAATATCTCATCGCCAATAATTACCAGGTTTCATCTCCCTTCAAGACTGAATGGATGAAATTTTTGATGTGCAGGTGCTCCCATGCTGCTCCTCCATCACAGCCATCTCCGGAATGACCAGATTGTGATATGTTTTTATCAGTAGTTACATTGGCATTGCAAAGTGCGCACAAAGCTTCAACGGCAACTTCTTTGTGGATCATCTTTGCAATTAATGACAGTATAAGCGAGTTGTCTAATAAACTGTCTTATTTAAAAGGAATATCTGAGGTTTCAAAGGTCCTGTCGTCTAGCTGGCTTGGATAGGTCTCCAGAAACGCAATAAGCTGACTGAGAAACTCAAGCACATATTTATAGGCAGATGTATTGATTTGTCAAAGATGCAAGTGATTATATAGGGGCTTTAGCAATGACATTAGATAGAAGAGCGTTGTTCTGCTGAGTTGTGCCTGCCAACTGAGAATGTGTTGTATGCGTAGTTAGATTACGTAATTAAACGAAATCACGGGGTAGGTAAGTTATAGTTCATATCTGTTTCCACTAAACCACTATTGACACGTAACAAGGTGTTTAATACATTTACACTGATATTTATAATAAATGTTACATTTCAAACTTTCGATTTCAGTTTGAGTTCATGATGTGATTTATGTCTACTGGCACACAGTCTATTGCGTAATATTTTTATTGTTTTGAGCTCTTTTAGTCTAAGTTGTTCTCCCTTGTCATGTGAACAGTATAGAAAATGTCTTTTCAGATGATTTGCAGGAGGTGTGACTCTTAGTTTATAAGACAATAAGATTTATTTTGTACATTTAGAGGATGTCATATTTTTCTTTTTTGTCAGACGTCCTTATTGTTTATTGTAATAAGAAAAAGTTCAATAAAAAAAAAAAAAAAGTCTATTGCGTAATATGGGGTCCATTATATAAGATGCACCATTTAAAATGGAGGTAGATGTTTCACTTTCGATGCTGTTGATCTCTGCATGGAAAGTTGCTCCCTTACAGGAAATCACATTACAGTCTGCTGTTTAGACTGAAACCACTGTTCCCTGAGTGAAAGGAAAAGTTCTTCTGTATCTGGACCTTTGTCCTCCAGGACACTCTTTACACTTACAAACTGAAGTTGTGTTCAGTCAGGTTAGTTATTCAGTTGATTGGCTTTCTCCTTAGGAAGTTGTTTTTAGCTGTAGGACTTGAGTTCCATTTGTGTGTGTTTTGTTTATTTAACTGTTAATAAATATCTGCAATTTGTTTGCACAGAATCTGTTGTTTTCATTTTATATTGTTACTCCACCTCTTTCTCTGGGCTTGAGCCACCTAAGGACGTAACAGGAGGTTTGACACAAGTATGCTTTTTTATCTTTATTTTAAATTAAATGCTTTTGCTAAATAGAAATGCATACAAATATAATGAAAAATTTACATTTAGTTTCTTACACCTCTGTGGTGGAAACCCTTTTTTAAACCCTTTTTTCACTGCCCCAGCTGAGCAGAAGTATAATCTCAGATCAACACAGAATTAACCATATTTCAATATACATCAATGATCTATTATGAGGGACTAAAAAAGACATATCTATAAATCAATAGAATAAATAATTAAATGCAGAAATAAATAATTAAATGCAGAAAGAAAATTAAATTAATTTTGGTCATTAAAAAAAGCTATTTCTGTATTTATTTATGCATTTCTACATGCATTTATTTCAGTATTTCTACATATATTCATATTTTTATTGATTTGTTTATATATGTATTGATTTATTTCCACATTTCCACATTTAAATATGCCTGTGCGCGTTTCGGTTTCTCCCACTCGAGGGGCGAGTCCGGAAAGGCTGACACGATCTGGCTCTGAGGAGCTAGATGTGCTTAGCATAGAGGAAACGGAACATCATCAGCCCTCGCCAGGATACGAGGAGTTGTTGGAAGTGGTGACGCGGGCCGTGGCCAAGCTGCACATTGATTGGCCACAGGTGGTGCAGCAGCCATCGGCAGGCAGCAAACTAGATCAGCGGTTTCTGCAACACCGAGCGCCACCCCCGCGTCGGCCCCTACCATTTTTTCCGGATCTGCACAACGTGTTGTGTAGATCATGGAATAAACCCTTCTCTGCGCGGCTGTCTACGTCCCCCCGGCTGGACTTCGGCAACGTGACGGGAATCAGACAGCACGGCTACGGAGCGATGCCACGAGTAGAGGAGGCGCTGGCTAGCTACCTCTCTCCCAACCTCGCCTCATCCCTCCGGACGCCGGCGCTCCCCACCAAGCCGTGTCGGATGACGTCCGATTTGGTGGGCAAGGCCTACATGGCAGCGGGTCGAGCTGGTGCCAGCCTACATACGATGGCTGTCTTGCAGGCATACCAGGCCGATCTCCTTCGGGACTGTGACGTAGGGGGCGGTCCCTCTGAGGAGGACCTGACGGAGCTCCGTAGAGCGACGGACTTGGCTCTGCGTGTGACCAAGGAAACGGCCCGTTCCATCGGCCGATCCATGGCAACTTTGGTGGCTACGGAGCGGCATCTGTGGCTCAATCTATCAGGCATACAGGGGACAGAGAGGACTTTTCTCCTGGATGCGCCCCTCTCGCCTTCTGGCCTGTTTGGCGAAGCAGTGGATGCTGTCGTCAACAGGTTCCAGCACGCCAAAACTCAGGGAGAGGCATTTGAGCGATATCTCCCCCGCCGGTCAGACTCCAGGACCGCGACGGCTCAGGAAAGGCGGACGCAGCCTTCATCCAGCACCTAGCTGAGACGGATCTGAGGACCGTCATTCAGTCTCGGCGGGCCCGGGGGAAGAGGTCCTGAGACCTCGAGTAGCATCGACGACTGGCTCGTCCTGGCCCAGTCTCGAGAGTTAGCGGTTCGGCATCGAGATGTCGTCCTCACCCACCTTCAGCATTTGGGGCTGCAGCTCAACGCGAAGAAGAACGTGCTGACACCCGCCCAACGGACTGCGTTCCTAGGGGTGGTATGGGACTCAACGGCGATGCGGGCCCACCTGTCTCCCGCACGCATCGAGTCCATTTTATCCTCAGTGACCAGAGTGCAGTTAGGCCGCGCCATCACTGTAAAACACTTTCAGGGTCTTCTGGCAGCAGCGTCCAGTATAATACCTTCCGGACTACTGCACATGAGAGCCCTGCAGTGGTGGCTAAAATCCAAGGGATTCTCCCCGAGGGGAAATCCGCTCCGTCTAATACGGGTTATGAGCGGATGCCTTCGTTCCCTGTCAGTATGGAGGAAGCCTTGGTTCCTGTCCCAAGGTCCTGTGTTGGGAGCGATCTGTCGCCGAACAATTATTTCAACAGACGCCTCACTCACGGGATGGGGCGCGGTCATTGACGGCCGCTTCACGAGAGGCTCCTGGGAGGAGCATCATTTCTCTTGGCACATAAATTGCCTGGAAATGTTGCCGGTTTTCAGAGCTCTGAGGAGTTTCTGCCCGCTCTCCGCGGTCGCCACATCCTTGTCAGGACCGACAATACGGCGGTGGTGGCCTATTTGAATCACCAGGGGGGTCTGCGCTCGCGCCCGTTATGCAAACTGCCACATCAGATCCTCCTGTGGTCCCAGGAGAGACTGCTGTCCCTCAGAGCAATGTACATCCCTGAGACCCAGAATCAAGGAGCAGACCTGCTGTCGAGACAGGGGTTGAGGCCCGGGGGAATGGAGACTCCACCCCGAGGAGGTGGAGTTATTATGCGAAGAGTCGGCTGAGGCCAAGCACCTGACCCTTAAGATGACCTTTCTCCTCGCTATCACCTCTCTGAGGAGAGTGGGGGATCTCTAGGCACTTTCGGTGTCTCCTCGATGCCTGGAGTTTGCCCCGGGGAGGCTCAGGGCCATCCTGCACCCTTGTCCAGGTTATGTCCCTAAGGTTCATCCCCCACCTCATGTGACGGCGGAGGACGGGAGACTTCATCTGCTCTGCCCTGTCAGAGCACTGAGTATGAACACTCTGAGGTCTTCCCGGTGGAGGAAAGCAGAATAGTTGCTGGTGTGTTTCTGGGCTCCCCGCTTCTAAACTCACCATCAGCAACTGGATCGTTCAGACTATTTCCCTGGCCTATCAGGTGCGCAGTTTGCCTTCACCTATGGCTGTAAGGGCGCACTCTACTTGAGGCATGGCGGCTTCTAGGGCCCTCCTCGCAGGGGCGTCACTCCAGGATTTGTGTGATGCGGCTGGCTGGGCCACCCCTCACACTTTTATCTGGTTTTACAGTCTGGACCTGCATTCTGCACCCGGCACCCGTGCGCTCTCCTCCTAGTCGTGCCGTCAGGTTCTGCACGCTGGGGGCAGGCCGGGTTTCGGTGCGGGGTTTCTAAATGGGTATCTCGTTCCCAAAGTGTCGTCACTGACGCAGTTCAAGTTCCCTCGAAGAGGAACGTCTTGGGTTACGTATGTAACCCTTGTTCCCCGAGAAGGGGAACGAGACACTGCGTCGGTCCACCACACCTCACCCCGCCTGGAGTGCCTCGCTTCATAGACAGGGCTAATGTGTCCTATGTGCCGGCGTGCTTATATACCCCCTCCGGTTACGCCGTCACACACTACCGTTCTAGTAACACCAATAGGATTGGAGTAGTTTCATTCATAGTTCAGCCCTGCCACGCCCAGGGGCGTTCCCATAGTGTCGTCACCGACGCAGTGTCTCGTTCCCCTTCTCGGGGAGCAAGGGTTACATATGTAACCCGAGACGTTTTGTTGAGGTGACATGAAGCAATGACATTAATTGTTATGAAGATGTGCATTCAACCATATGTGTTTACAAGATTTGTAAAACCTACCCATGATATCTTCAACAATGGATTGGAGGGGAAAGTTAAATCAAATTCAAGCATAACTTTAATTTAATAATGTCTTCAGTCATTGTAAATGTGACACTAATCTTGCTCTGTGTCTGCTGGATGTGTAAGTGGGCGACAATCACCATGACAACTTTACACAGTGATAATATGTCAATGCTGTTTTTACAGCTTTTTCAATATTCTTCGATATTGATTCGTTCATAGTGCCAAGAATCACATCACAAGAAGTTCTACTGAGTTGTTTAGTATCAGCAAAAGTGCCACAAATTCGAAATTAGAAGAAGAGAGAAGATCTTTTTCTCAGGAGACCAAATCCAAACTAAAAGAATGTGTTTCAGCAGGTTTTCTGCTCATGTTCAAAACTTTTGCACAATCTCTCCCACATATCTGAGTTCCCTGATATTTGAAGAATAATATTTTTAGATACAATACAAAAAACTTAATATTACGCTGAGCACACCTAAATTTCATCTAAGCACCCCTAAAAAAAAAATTATACAAATATTTACTGTTTTGTCCAAGTTAGATTTTGGAGAAGCAAGAGAAGGGACAACCAATTAGCCTACAGTTTCATATGTCTTTTCTTAGATTAAACGGGTTTAATGTCCCTAAATACTGACATTTTTCAGTTTCTAATGTTTTACTGAATGATCCGATTTTACTGAATGTTTTACTTTCAATATTGAGGGGGGGATACGAACGGCCCCTCCCAACTTGGACTGATCATCGTTTTTGCTGAATTCTGATTGGCAGAGGAGTTTACTTTCCATCTGGGGCGAGTTTAATCCAAAAACCTTTTACACCGGTTTGCTACGTTTTGTCTGGGCTGAACTCAGCCGAGCCCAGGGTTGTGACAAGTGCAACAGAGATGGTAAATATAGCAAAAAGAAAGAAGGAGGAAAAAGAAATGTGTGGTGCCGAAAAAATAAGAATTAAGAAGAAAAAGCTTTCGGCACAAGAGGAGGCTGAATGCGCCAACTGTCAACTGTCACACTCTTACACTCCAATTTAATAATAATCTGGATCAAGCAACCACGTTCTTAACGAACTCCAGCACAGAGAGAGGAACAAAGAAATATTAACACATTATATAAACGCAGCAGTTTGGCAGGTCTGGACGCAGAATGGGACACATCAGGTTCGGATTCTGCAGACAGAGAAACACACATGAGCACATCGCTGGTTCAATCCAAGTGTATGAATGTTAGTTTCTGTTTGAGCACTTGGGCTCAGTGGGAATGGTGAATGCAGATGTCGTGTAAAAGCGCTTTGAGTGGTTGAAAAGTCTAGAAAGGTGCTATACAAATACGGAGCATTTACAACACATGGCCAAATGTTTTCTTAAAAATTCTCCAATGAAAACTGTCCTTTGGTTTAGTGAGAAAATAAATGTTTTAAACTCTTTAAGGAGAAATCACAGGGCTTGGTTTATATCTGTTTCAACAGTGTCCACAAAACCACTATTGATATGTAACAATGTGTTTTAAACCCACACTTAGACTGATTTTTGGTATTTGGAATGGTTGTCCAATATGTGTGCCTCTCTCTCTCTCTGTGTGTCTGGACCTTTGTCATCCAGGAGACTCTTTCCATTTGAGTGGATTTTGTTTATTTAACTGTTATCTATAGTTTGTTTGCACAGAATCTGTTGGTTCTTTTAGCTTGGTTTTCATTTTTATATTGCTCCACCTCTTCTTCTGGTTTTGAGCCACTTAATAAAGTAACAGGAGGTTTGACACAAGTATGCATACAATCAAATATAATGTGAAAATTTACATTTAGTTTCTTACACCTCTGTCGTGGAAACCCTTTTTTTCACTGCCCCAGCTGAGCAGAAGAAAAACCTGAGGAGCCTGGGAAGAAAATCAATATAATATGGTTTATTAAAATAATACATAGATCACCGTGGTGATATTTTGATCTCCTGACAAAAAAATTCTAATCTCATCCGAATCAAAAAAATTTAGATGCCGAAAAATATCCTATCTTGCCTGCGACTTTTCATGTGAGAAGCTCCTTTGGCAATCAGTAACTCCCAAACTTTGTCAGCAATCTTACTTTCTCAAACCTCCTCATACATTAAAACTGTTACTCTGTTCGGTCCAGAGGAGCTGGACAAATCCTGGCTGTGCTTCAAAATATATCTCAGATCAACACAGAATTTATCATATTTCAACATACATCAATGATCAGTACCTTGGATGTCTCCAAACACAGAACCCAGAATTAGTGAGAAATATGTTTTTGCAATTTGGTCAACTAATCACAGGGTGTAAGTTTTATATACAGTTTCCACTAAACCACTATTGACCAGGAAAAGAAATCATATTGCTCCAGTTTTAGCTTCTTTGCATTGGCTTCCAGTAAAATCCAGAATAGAATTTAAAATCATTCTTCTTACCTACAAAGCTCTTAATGGTCAGGCACCATCTTATCTTAAAGAGCTCATAGTACCTTACTACCCCACCAGAGCACTGCGCTCCCAGAATGCAGGGTTACTTGTGGTTCCTAGAGTCTCCAAAAGTAGACGAGGAGCCAGAGCGTTCAGCTATCAAGCTCCTCTGGAACCAGGTTCCAGTTTGGGTTCAGGAGGCAGACACCATCTCCACATTTAAGAGTAGGCTTAAGACTTTCCTCTTTGATAAAGCTTATAGTTAGGGCTGGCTCAGGTAGTCCTGAACCATCCCTTAGTTATGCTGCTATAGGCCTAGACTGCCGGGGGATTTCCCATGATGCAGTGAGCTCCTCTCTCCTCTACTTTCTCTCCCTCTGTATGCAACCTCATCCCATTATTGCATGTTACTAACACAACTTCTCCCCTTTCTGGTAGTCTTGTGCTTTCTCGTCCCTCTCCTCTCTCCTCCTATCACTTCCTGCAGGTGTTTCTGGCTCTGGATCTGTGGCTGCGGGTCTCCTGCTGCCCCCGTGTTCCTGCTCGACACCCTCTGCTGCAACAACTATTGTTTTTATTATTGTTATTAATATCATTAACATTACGATTCATCAACATTACTGTAAATATCTGTACCATTTTTCATTCAGTCTATAGCAACATCACCTTTACTGTCTGCACCTCTGTGTGTGTATATTGTGTAGGCTGCCTCCCTCCCCTCTCTCTCTCCTTCCATCCCCCTCCCCTCTCTCTCTCTCTCTCTCCTTCCATCCCCCTCCCTCTCTCTCTCTCTCTCTCTCCTTCCATCCCCCTCCCTCTCTCTCTCTCTCTCTCTCTCTCTCACCCCAACCGGTCGAGGCAGATGGCCGCCCACCCCGATCCATGGTTCTGCTCGAGGTTTCTGCCTCTTAAAGGAAGTTTTTCCTTGCCTCTGTCGCCTAGTGCTGCTCTTGGTGGGAACTGTTGGGCTTCTGTAAATAGCATCACAGAGTACGGTCTAGACCTGCTCTTTATGAAAAGCGCTGTGAGATAACTGTTGTTGTGATTTGGTCACCATCACTGCCTTTCCCTGATGGTTCATCATACAGAATTAAACCCAAGAAAGGCAGTAAAAGATGCTTTTTACTCACAATGGTCACCAGGTTTCACAAAGGCCTGCATAACTAATTTGGAGGCTGAACAAGCTGAATTAAAAGTGTTTCATCTAATTAAGTAACATAATACTTTATATTTAACTGGTAAATTAAATATCTCAAAATTGCAAAAATAGAAAAGTTTGCAACTCCACAGATTTGTTTTGGAAGAGTTTTGTTTGGGCAGCAGTAGATTGTTGAAGCTGAGAGATTTCAGCAGTTATAGCACCATAGAAAGAGCAGCTGGGAGGCAGGTGAAGTTCTGCAAATCCTTCAAACTCAGTGATTAGCTTCCTCTGGTTGCAGCGCCAGCCTTCTCTTTGATATAAACACAAGTCAAAAGGTGAGAACCTTGTTGCCTGTTGGCGCCACAGAAGGAGGTAGAGGGACCTCTGCTGGTTGAGCTCCCATATAGCAAGAAGGCCTATAACTAAAACATGAATTAAATAATAGAAACTTAAACAGGCGAACTGCTGTCCTAAGCACACATTTAACATTAGTTCACTTGAAGTTACAGGTCACCAATGCTCTGGCTGTTAGGGAGAACTAAACATTTGTCAGAGTTATTATTATATTAGTTTTTATTTTTATTTCAGCTAACTAAAGTGTTGGGTTTTTTTTGTTTTGTTTAGTTTTACTAAAAAAAAGTTGTTTTAGTTTTATTAAAAACGTTATTTTAGTTTGCTTGCTAATCACACAGTAGAAGGTTTTATAATAGTACAGACCAAGTGACATCCAAGTTATGGTCTATAACGAAAAAACTAATTGACTGAAGTTGAAAAGGGAATAATGATAAAATTAAGAAAGCAGCTGGGGGCTAATTATTGTATCAGTTTAAGAGGGCATGGAGATCCAGGCCATCCAGCAAAAAGGGTGCTGGAGAAGGAGACAACACAAAAAACCATGTGAAGATTTGGAACTATTTAAGATTAAACACAATAATAAGAATGCTGATTTAACTAGTGTATATTATAGCAATAGGGAATGTAAGTACAAGGAAAATATTATAATATATAAGGTGGCAAAAGAAGCAGTTACAAAAAAAGGAGATGTTGAAGTCAACATTAAATTATCAAAATCAGAGGGGAAAGGCATAGTGTGGAGAAGTGTAAATCAACAATGGCAACAGAGCTGGGATAATGCAATAAAAGGGAGACATTTCCACGAAATCGAAAGCAGAGTAGGTGTATCAAGAAGCAGGGGAGCAAAGAGGAAACGACCAGGTGATAATAAGCAGGCTGAGAATTGGGCGTAGCAATATTAATATGTCATGACTCTGTGTCAGCTCTAATAAGCATGAAGACATGTACAACTAGAAGTCACCTGGACTTGCCGTATGAAGTCTTATTTAGGAACTCAAGAATAGCTAGGCAGGGGGGGAAATGTCATATTTCTGTGGGTCCCTGCGCACTCGGGAATCCAGGGACATGAGTAAGCAGATAAGGTGGCAAAAGAAGCAGTTACAAAAAAAGGAGATGTTGAAGTCAACATTAAATTATCAAAATCAGAGGGGAAAGGCATAGTGTGGAGAAGTGTAAATCAACAATGGCAACAGAGCTGGGATAATGCAATAAAAGTGAGACATTTCCACGAAATCGAAAGCAGAGTAGGTGTATCAAGAAGCAGGGGAGCAAAGAGGAAACGACCAGGTGATAATAAGCAGGCTGAGAATTGGGCGTAGCAATCTGAACAGCACACTTTTAATTACAGGAAAACACCCTACAGGAATGTGTGAACAATGTCAGGAGGCTGTGGGGATTTTTAATAAACGTCGGTCGTTCAAGAACTGCCCCATAGTAGTTCACACGGTCGTTCAGAGAGGAAACTGACTGAGGGAATACGTTTTTCAGCTTTCCGGGTCGCGTTGGTTGCCGCAATCAGAAGGATAAACTTTACTTTTCAAAGGATCTCTGCATCAACGAGAGTGTGTTCGCTGCATTTTTCCCGTCAGGTGAATTCTCTGGTTTTTAACTTAAAACATAACCTAAATACAATATTTTCATTTTGCTCTCATATTCTTTGTGATTCGTAAAGTGTTATGTTAAACGTCGGTGTGTGTTGTCTTTCTGAGCAACATGTCTCTATCAACACATAATGTTTCATTTGCAACTCTAAACATCTAGGAAATTGATTTAAATATATATATATATATGTAGCGGCTTGACAGGTCTGATATCTAGGCTACTAGATTTTTGAAATAAAAATCCATTGAATAGTAAGATTTTCTTTTTTTATTTACATATATATTCTCTAGAACTCATCTGTCAACCCCTGCTGGATTGGGTTTGTGGATCAAGTCTGGTAAGTCACGATAATTTTGAACAAGTTCGCATTAATGTGCCAAATGAAGTCCTGGTATAAAAAGCATCAAACCAAATTTAAAGCAGTAGCTACACATGTTTACTCTAAATTATCTTTTGTGTTGTTAATCTAATCATATAGTTCTCTTTTGGACCTGCTGCCTCAAGCCATGGAGGTAACGATGGGCTACTCTGTGGGAGTGTAAAATACTTTGAGTGGTTGTCAGACTATAGGTGAAGCATGTAGGCAGTACAGTTCATTTCACCAGTAACTTAAATCTTCTTCTGTTTTTTTTTCTCTCAGCCGGACAGAAGCGGACAACAAGTTCAAGAAATGCTTAAGAGAGGAGAGATGTTATCAACCAAGGTACCGCACCTCATACCCCAAAGGTAAACTTCAAGAAATGAAATGTTGTTACTCAGTTATGTCAACTGGTCCCATGACAATGGACTATGTAGGTGTGACCAACCCTATGTAGGTTGGATTCTGCTGGGGGAACAAGCTGCACCAGACAACAAACAAGGCTCAGACCAGTACCGGTTATATTTAACCAAAGAATACAGTGTTTATTAAATTAAACAGGATAAAGGAGTTAAAAGTGATCTGTATAAAAAGGGCTCTAAAATATCTAAAACATTCAGTAATGGCCGTGGGCCATGCCTGAATCCATCCAAGTCCTCACAGTCACTGTCCTTAAATCATATCCTTCACGTCTACTGTGTTTGCTCCTCCTCTTTACGTGGCCAGCAGCAGCCTAAACCAACCCGGTCTCACTCCCAAGTCGTCACATATGGACGCTTGGTCAAGAGTCATAATCGTCAGTTTGTGACGCACTAGGGATCCCTTTGACGTCATAGTTCGACGTATTGAGGGAAGCCCTGTTGTGTCAGTTTTTGATGGTAAAGGCAAGTATGATATTTAAGAGAAAAGACGAAGTAAGGAGGTGATTGGGGTGGATAGAGGGCCAGAACCCGGACCTTGAAGCAGGAGAACAGGGTTTGTGTCCCGTGCGAAACAAAACATTAAGTGTTTTTATTTAGGCGAGTGAGGTAAATTGACATTAACGTTAGTTAACTTAAGTCTTAATTGACATACATAGCTATTTTAACCCAAACCCTGATCTTTTCCTAACCTTAACCAAGTAGTTTTGTTGCCTAAACCCAACCAAGTACTTTCTGTGCCTAAACCTAACGAAACTGCAACGTTTCACGACTTTAATTATGCGCGTTTCAACATGGCAATGTATCGAAACGTTACGTTTTATCTTGAAAGTGTAACCGGATATTGCATATTTATTGTTGCTAAGCGTTGCTAACTTGACTGTGGATCCCTAAACGTCAATAATTGATGCAAAGGGGCTACCCAAGTCTTTAAAAAGCAACGACAACGGGCCTTTTGACGAGTAGGGAGTGAGACTGTGTTGCCTAAACAAAATGGTCACAGCAGTCACAGAGTTACACACAGTCCACTCTCCACAGTAGTTCTCATTAAGCTCTCTCAATAATTTGTAAGAAATAAAACTAACATAGAAACTATGCATGCAGGAAAACAACTTAACCAATCACACATGCAAAACAAAACCCACACCAAACACAGATACACAATCAATCAATCTGCTTATAAAAGGAAAAAATTCCCACACCAGTGACCCATTCACTACTAACAACGGGGCTTGAGCTGCTCTACAACACACATACATACATACATACAGAAGACAAGGCATCAGTTATGGTGTTAAGCACCTCTTTCTTTAGTCACTTCAGCAAACCATCTGAAATCGAGACTCATCAGACCAGGCAACGTTTTTTCAGATCTTATTGTCCAATTTTGGTGAGCCTGTGTGAACTGTAGTTTCTGGTTTTAGCTCACAGGAGTGGCACCTAGAGTGGTCTTCTGCTGCTGTAGCCCGTCTGCTTCAATGTTGGACGTGTTGTGCGTTCAGAGATGGTATTCTGCATACCTCGTTGTAACGAGTGGTTGTTTGAGTTACTGTTGCCTTTTCCTTCATCTTGAACCAGTCTGCTCATTCTCCTCTGACACCAACAAGGCATTTTCGTCCACACGACTGCCGCTCACTGGATATTTTCTCTTTTTCGGACCATTCTCTGTAAACCCTAGAGATGGTTGTGCGTTTAATTCCCAGTAGATCAGCAGTTTCTGAAATACTCGGACCTGCACGTCTGTCACTAACAAGCACGCCACGTTCAAAGTCACAAAAATCCCATTTCGTCCTTATTCTGATGCTCGGTTTGAACTTCAGCAAGTGTCTTGACCATGTCTACATGCCTAAATACATTGAGTTGCTGCCATGTGACTTGCTGTTTAGCTATTTGTGTTAAGAAGTAATTGAACAGGTGAACCTAATAAAGTGGCCGGTGAGTATATTTTGTTTGGTACTTCCAAACCCATAAAAAACTCCTTTTGAAAAATAAATCCGGTTAGGGTTAAGCAAAGATCATGGAGTGGGTTAAAATTACTACTTCCTTTTAGGGCAGAGGTTAAAGTTAAACTTTTTGGTGACTCATCCATCCAGCCCGACCCCCTCCCTACGCAGACTTTAGATAAACCCGGCGTCTTCGTCACCTAACACACTACCACAGAGTTCAATTCATTCAGTCAGTTGGCAGCTTACAGTTGCAGCGTATGGGGAACATTGCAGCTGAAAGGTTAAATGACAAATTGTTTAGCACAAGATTTTTTTCATGTGGATTAAACTAAGTTCCCCCTTTTTCATTATCCAGGGAAGAGGACCAGCAGCAGGAGGATCAACGCTTTGGCCTGAAGAATAACAATTTCCCAAACTTTTATTTTGATCATTTTCATAACCAAAATTTAAACCCTACTGCAATTCCAAAGTCGTTTTTGAGCCCAGTTAAAAATGCCAGTAATTTACCTTCACTGACATCAAGAACAGAAATTATGTCATTAAAAGACAATTTCATGAAGCTAATAACTTGTGATAAAAAGCAACTTTTTAAGCAAATAATGACATTATTTTCAAATGTAAACAATGAATTGGTTATTAGACATGGAGACATGGAGTTTTGGAACAAAACAATGACCACAATAAACATAAAGGGGGACAAACAATTTGCATATGCTGTTGTTGAAATGAAAAATGGTACATCTAACCTTTTTCGTGCAGTTTGTCCATATTATCGAGACAAGAAGAGCAAAAATTCTGCTTCTCCTTCCACTGAAGTTACATCACACAGTGAGGAAATTTTAATGAGACAAATTGATGAATTTCTACCAAACAATGGAACAAATGTTCAGAGTATTTTAATTTATACTCTCAACAGTCCATGTTTGAAGAGAAAAAAACATATTAAGCCATGTATGTTTAAACTTTTAGAGATGGCTGATCAGTGGCTCAGTAAATATGGATTTTTTACTTATGTGGCATTCACAAAGTTTTGGGGACTAACGGGTCCAAATTATTTTGTAGATCTCGAGTACTCTGACATCTCAAGTCCCAGCAGCTGTTTTTATCCCTATGTAGAAACATGCAAGAAAATTCCTTTCAAATTGAACACTGACTATTTCAAAAAAAAATTTTTTTTTGAAATCTACCAGACAATCTCTACTGTTAAGGACACACAACAAAGAAAAAAACTAAATGGGGATATTAAATCATGTCTCGACAAATTTAAGAAACTGGCAGAAAATTCAGTTAATCTGACAAAAGACCAACATGTGGCCTGTGCAGTGAAAATTATTTCATCACTTGCATTTCACCCACTGGTCCATGACACAATTATTGATATTCTGACAAAGAACTGGAATGAAATTGTTAACTATAGTTCAATTTTACCTATTATTGAACAAATTACCACAGATTTTAACACTGCGGTAGTTCATCTGTTTCTAAAGGACCTTAACTCAACTTTGGGGAACAGGAGCCCTTTACGGCCTTATCAGGTCCCCAGAGCGGAGTGAGTATATGTTGAATTGATCAAATATTAAAGGTTAATCACTATTATATATTATTACAAAATATATATAATGTGTTAAATATATTTTAAATATCTACAAAAGTTAGACTTTCACTTTCTGTAGATATTTGGATCACAATGTTATAAATATATTATTACAAAATATATATAATGTGTTAAATATATTTAAATATCTACAAAAGTTAGACTTTCACTTTCTGTAGATATTTGGATCACAATGTTATAAATATTATTACAAAATATTCTTGTAATAATCTTTTTAAAATATCTACAAAAGTTAGACCTTCACTTTTTGTAGTTACACAGAAGTTTGTGGTCTCTCTAGTTAAATGTTGAAACTGTGAATTAGTAACAGATATTAGTTTGGTTTTATTGAAAATCTTTCTGAATAAAAAGATTTAGAAAATGTTGACAATCTTAACTTCGGGTATCACTTGTAATTAGGCTCTAATTACTGTTGTAACTCAAGTATATTTTGTCTTGATCTTTGTTGACTGTTTCGCCCTGAGCTCATTGTAATAAAAACCTTACATGATTTCAGTGTGCTTTGTTCTGTTATTGAATTGGTGTGTTAAAATACTCATGTGCTTGCTGTAGCTGCCAAAACAAAATGAAAAATATGCACAAATAAGTATAACCTAAGGATAAAGTATGATTATTATTAGACTTCTCTCTGTGTCCCTATGAGGTTTGTGCAGAAGTCTCCTATCTGCGTATCAACTGCATGAAAACCGGGAGAATTGAATTGCTATTCATCTCACCCTAACTAGAGGAAACATGTTTTGCCACGACAGCTCCCTCATCATCAAAAAATGTATCTGCCTGTGGTTCAACCGTCAACTCTGGTGTTTTAAAGGCATGTGTGGACATAAACAGGACATGTTAGTGGTCCGGGTATCTGTGGATATTCTGTAATTCCCAGACCGACTCTCTTCATTCTTTGTTCGTTGAATTGGTTTTTCGTTGTTTGATTCTGAAACCAAAAACGATTACTTCGTTTTTCGTTTTGAAACAAAAAACAGATAAACGGTATTTTTGTTTTAGAATTACAAACGAATTACGGATTATCCAGAGATACCCAGACCCAATTAGCCACCCTGTTTTCCGTTATGAGTTTAAATAAAAATAGATGTCTGTTTTGTTGTTTACCATTTTTCCATTTTGGTTTTAAAACAGAAAAACAACTTGTTTTTTTGTGGTTTTCAAAGGAAATTATAAAATTAAAATATAATACAAAAGAACAATTCATTTCATCTACGTCTCTGCATGAGGTTGGATGCACTTTCTCTCAGAGGTTGATAAAATAAATTAATTGTAATTGATGTGTTATCCAATAGCCTAATTTTAATAGACTACAAGTAATATTCCTACTGGTTGAAATGGTATAAAATTTCTGGTTAAATAATTTTACAGTAGGCTATTATATATTCTGGGAGTTTTGTGGAAAAGGAATTAAAGGCCTGTCCCAAATATAGGCAAATAATAAAATATATATATGTACATACAGTTGTGCTAATAGGTTTGCATAGCCTGGCATAATTTTTTAATTTTGGCATTAATTTTGAAAATATGACTCGTCATGCAAAATAACTGTCGGGATCCAAAGAAGAACCCACAGGTAACGTCAGGAGAAATACAGGCTGCTCTGGAAAAAGATGGTGTGGTTGTTGCAAGGACCACAATGCGACGGTACTTGAAACGAAAATGAGCTGCACGGTCGAGTTGCCAGAAAGAAGCCTTTACTGCGCCAATGTCTCGTTTTTTATTTTTTATTTATTTTTACTTTTTTTACGTTTTCTACATTCAACAAAATTTGCAGTCGTGTTTCACAAAAAAACTGGACGGAAACTCTGGGATTAAATGTCAAGTAAAACAAAAGCATATTTACCTTGAGGGCAAAACGCTGCCATCCACATGGGCGTTGATACACCTCTCCTCCTCTGTAATAAGTCTCGGTGTCTTTCAAATTGGTGAAATCATAGTCGAATCCTGGATGAAAGAATTCATCTTCGTTGATGAAGTGATTTCTTTCGAATACTCTTTCAATATCCACGTGGTTCTCTGGGGCAGAGTCTGTGTCCGGTCCATCGCCTTGCAAGATGCTTCGGAGCTGGACAAAGTGGGATCTTGACACCGGACTGTAATGGAAGGGGAGGAAATGATATTTGAAAGCACATTAGTCTCTTCTTGCAGTCAGTCACATCTGAATTATATCTACACAGCTGTTCACAACTCATTCTGTAAAGATTTACAAACTATAAAACCGCAGTGTGTAACGGTTTCAGAAATCTCTTCTCCGTGCACAGATTGTATCAAAATATCTCATCGCCAATAATTACCAGGTTTCATCTCCCTTCAAGACTGAATGGATGAAATTTTTGATGTGCAGGTGCTCCCCCCCTTGCATCGATGCTTCGTTTAATCCATGTAACTATACAGAACATTGTTTCGCAAGGACATTTGTTACTGTCGCGCTTACGCTGTAAACAGGACGTGATTATGATGCAGCTGTTTGAAAAGTGGAGGAAGAGAGAGAAAACAGCGAGGGACAATGAAGAAAGTGTGCAAAGTATGGGATTATTTCAAGCTAAAGAAAAAAAACCAACTCTGTAATGTCCGTCCACCTCCAAACAAAATTTATGTCGCCTCAGCAACTGCACGACGGTACCTGACCAGACAGAAGCCGGTGTTCTGCCAGCGGACCACAGACAAGGTAACAGTAACAGCAACTTCAACATTTAACTGAAGTCATGAATGATTGTTGAGTTGAAGCCAAAGTAAGTCGCAGTCCTCAGCTGAAGATGTCCACACGTGTGTTTGTTGTTCTCCTTTTTGGGCTGCGAGTTTTAACCTCACAGTCATGAGTTGAGTCTGGGAACTGCACCTTTTAACTCACCTCCAGCTCTCTCTGCAGCTCAGACAATCCCTGCTACCTGCGTGTGCTGATCCATCCTTTCACCCAGATTCTTTGATCTTCTTGGTCAGTGCAGATTCAACCAACTGTGAAAGGAGTAGAAGACAAGACAGTATTCACTAAAATAAATAATCATGAACAACTTACAGTAAATACACCTACAGAAATAGCTACCAATCAAAAAACTGTGCAAAGGAGGCTCTCACAATAAATCTCATCCAGGATCATTCGAGCCACAAGCTGAAACTTACTGTGCTGACTTGGTTATGACATCAAGCAGTGGCCTGGTGGACTGGGAAGAGCTGGAAGAGGTTGTCCCCTTGGACTCTAAGTGTAGTTCAGGAGAGAGAGAGAGAGAGGAGCGAAGAAATAAACACAATTTGTTGGTTTTTCACAACTAAAGTGTAACTGGGTCTTAGTCATAATCCATGGACTATTGTGAAAGAAATGGGAATCAGGTTTACCTTTGTCAGATCTGATAGTAAACACACCAGCGTTGGGTTGCTGTGCTACTTCTTCAGAGACGTCTGCATCCACATTAGTTCCCATCTCATCATAAACTCAAGCTGAAGGTTTTACATCAAAGGGCTGATCAGTACGGTGAACTGTTTCGTAACATCTCAGACCGGTCTGTGGAAGCGCAGAGGAGGATTGACACCATCGGGGCGCAGTCTGGTGAGCTGCTGAGAGTAACCACTGGCCTGACAATGAAATTAGAAGAAATGTCGAAATTACTACATGAACTGGATGCACGTATGACGCTGAGGATGAGAGCGATTGGAGGACACTGATCCGGATAAATGTTATTTATATGTTAACGACTTGCAGCTGGCCTTACTATCTTCTCCTGCGCACTGGTTTATCTCTCCTCAAGGACAAGGCCAATGAACTGAACTTTTTTTTTAACAACCTAGTCAGTCTGAAGAACCTATGAACCTAAACTCTGATGCCTCTGCTGCCAGCTGGGATGGAGAACTCTATGAAAGTGTAGGGAAAAAACACAAACTGAGTCATCCCACATGAAATGCTCAATATAACCAAAGGGTATACCCCGAAACACACTCAGTGATACCTTTTGACCATGATACTAATCACTAGTCGGAACAAATCAGTGGTAAAAACATGATATTGCCATATAACTCACTTTGTGTGGGAATCACTGAATAAACTATTAAATATATCACTATGTGAAAGAAACTGGGGTCTGTAACAAAACAAACATGACTTCTTAAATCTCAAGAACAAGATTTGTAGGCCAGAGCATCTCATGATGCAGTTTTTTTGACACATTTCACCTTTTTCCAAAACATAAAAGGGTGGTGACCGCAACATGAACCGAACCGTGGATCTAAAATCAAAGTCTGAACTGAACCTGGATTTGGTGTATTGTTACACTGTGTGTGTGTGTGTGTGTGTGTGTGGTGTGTGTGTGTGTGTGTGTGTGAGACACAATTACTGCTCTCTGATATACTGACTTCAAACCAGCCTTCAAAACCGCAGCCTGCAACACTTCATTAGTCTGTCAATATTAACTGCAAGCACTATCTCTGGCTTTAAATTAAATATGTCTGAGCCTTTGACCATTTTGCGTGTTCAGCCATCCTAGCAACCAACAGACAAATAAGAGATGAAGCGAACAAGGGCGTGAGGAAGGCCTGAACGATGGGAGGAAAATCTGCAATAAAATAGTTATATATTCAGATGATGATATCGCTTACCATAAATATAAAAAAATATTGAAGTGTGCATATTGGCTGCCTGGTTGTTTTTTAATTCAATATAGGGTTTGTGTTGAATATTCTAAATACAACTAAATGCTGTTTATAGAGCAGCAAAATGAATGTTAACAACAGCAAAGTCAATATAAAGCCAACATCTGACACGACAGCACGGAGTGATGTATACAAAGAATGAAGAGATCAGTCTGTTTCAGTGTTTCCTCCTGTTATCTCTGCAGTCATTTAACCTTACTGCCACTGTGACAGTTTAACTGGTGGAAATTAACTGGTGATGATGTGTCACAGGCATGAGTTTTAGGATCCACTGACTGCAAACATCCCGAAAACTTTATCTACGTAATTGTCATGTAGATATCTTTGCAATCGTTACCAACATTATCTTGCCAGTCAACATTTGTATCATGTATTGTTATTTATCTGACGTCGAGTTGATGTGAGAACAGTTTGTCATGGTGCAGGAGCAGCTGGCTCGTTTCAACCAGTTTACAACAGTGTGGCAAGTTGTAAGCTACAGGGCAAACTAAGCTAAACAGTTAGACTAATGTTACACACAGACAGCCTTTAATTTAGCTTGTTTGTAACATTTGGCTAACTTTAATTGCCATGCTAACGTTAGCTGTTAGCTTGTAAGGTTAACACAGAAGATGAGAGAGCAGATTAAAATAACGCTTTCTGCACACAGGTTGGTTGGTAAAGTAATATAATTTTAGTCTCGAAGGTTTTATTGCACATACTTACACTAACGAGCGCAGCAGTGGGAAACTGGTGTAGTTTAGATCTCCCTTTAGATCTCCCTTCCTAACATGGTGCGATTTAATGTTATGCTCTGAAATTTTCAGGTTTTGAGAAACTGAACCTGATCCTATAGAAAGCTAAAGTCATTAAGTAGCTTCCACAATTCTTCTTTGCAGTCGAAACGCTGCTCAGCTCCAGTGCCCCGTCCACGAGAAGGATGTACGGCCTAAAGTGGAATGTGTTCACCACCTGGTGCAGAGAACAGGCGGTGGACCCAGTTACTTGCTCGGTAATTGTGATACTGGAGTTCCTCCAGCACCGTTTCTCCACTGGCCTCTCACCATCCACGCTCAAAGTATATGTGGCTGCCATTGCAGGGCCCTCAGGGAGGCTTCTGCTGGTCGTGCGCTTCCTCCGTGGAGCCCGGAGGATCAGACCCGTGACTCGTTCCAGGGTTCCCACCTGGGACCTGGCAGTGGTTCTCGAAGCGCTGGCTGAGGCCCCCTTCGAACCCCTGGAGTCGGCTGAGGCCAAGCACCTGACCCTTAAGATGACCTTTCTCCTCGCTATCACCTCTCTGAGGAGGGTGGGGGATCTCCAGGCACTTTCGGTGTCTCCCCGATGCCTGGAGTTTGCCCCGGGGAGGGTCAGGGCCATCCTGCACCCTTGTCCAGGTTATGTCCCTAAGGTTCATCCCCCACCTCATGTGATGGCGGAGGACGGGAGACTTCATCTGCTCTGCCCTGTCAGAGCACTGAGTATGTACACTCTGAGGTCTTCCCGGTGGAGGAAAGCAGAACAGTTGCTGGTGTGTTTCTGGGCTCCCCGCTTCTAAACTCACCATCAGCAACTGGATCGTTCAGACTATTTCCCTGGCCTATCAGGTGCGCAGTTTGCCTTCACCTATGGCTGTAAGGGCGAACTCTACTTGAGGCATGGCGGCTTCTAGGGCCCTCCTCGCAGGGGCGTCACTCCAGGATTTGTGTGATGCGGCTGGCTGGGCCACCCCTCACACTTTTATCTGGTTTTACAGTCTGGACCTGCATTCTGCACCCGGCACCCGTGCGCTCCTCCTAGTCGTGCCGTCAGGTTCTGCACACTGGGGGCAGGCGGGGTTTCGGTGCGGCCTAAGTGGGTATCTCGTTCCCATAGTGTCGTCACTGACGCAGTTCGAGTTCCCTCGAAGGGGAACGTCTCGGGTTACGTATGTAGCCCTTGTTCCCTGAGAAGGGGAACGAGACTGCGTCGGTCCGCCACACCTCACCCCGCCTGGAGTGCCTCGCTTCATAGAAAGGGCTAATGTGTCCTATGTGCCGGCGTGCTTATATACCCCCTCCGGTTACGCCGTCACACACTATCGTTCTAGTAACACCAATAGGATTGGAGTAGTTTCATTCATAGTTCAGCCCTGCCACGCCCAGGGGCGTTCCCATAGTGTCGTCACCGCAGTGTCTCGTCCCCTTCTCGGGGAGCAATGGTTACATATGTAACCCGAGACGTTTTGTTGAGGTGACATGAAGCAATGACATTAATTGTTATGAAGATGTGCATTCAACCATATGTGTGTGCGTTTACAAGATTTGTAAAACCTACCCATGATATCTTCAACAATGGATTGGAGGGGAAAGTTAAATCAAATTCAAGCATAACTTTAATTTAATAATGTCTTCAGTCATTGTAAATGTGACACTAATCTTGCTCTGTGTCTGCTGGATGTGTAAGTGGGCGACAATCACCATGACAACTTTACACAGTGATAATATGTCAATGCTGTTTTTACAGCTTTTTCAATATTCTTCGATATTGATTCGTTCATAGTGCCAAGAATCACATCACAAGAAGTTCTACTGAGTTGTTTAGTATCAGCAAAAGTGCCACAAATTCGAAATTAGAAGAAGAGAGAAGATCTTTTTTCTCAGGAGACCAAATCCAAACTAAAAGAATGTTTCAGCAGGTTTTCTGCTCATGTTCAAAACTTTTGCACAATCTCTCCCACATATCTGAGTTCCCTGATATTTGAAGAATAATATTTTTAGATACAATACAAAAACTTAATATTACGCTGAGCACACCTAAATTTCATCTAAGCACCCCTAAAAAAAAAATTATACAAATATTTACTGTTTTGTCCAAGTTAGATTTTGGAGAAGCAAGAGAAGGGACAACCAATTAGCCTACAGTTTCATATGTCTTTCTTAGATTAAACGGGTTTAATGTCCCTAAATACTGACATTTTTCAGTTTCTAATGTTTTACTGAATGATCCGATTTTTACTGAATTTTACTTTCAATATTGAGGGGGGGATACGAACGGCCCCTCCCAACTTGGACTGATCATCGTTTTTGCTGAATTCTGATTGGCAGAGGAGTTTACTTTCCATCTGGGGCGAGTTTAATCCAAAAACCTTTACACCGGTTTGCTACGTTTTGTCTGGGCTGAACTCAGCCGAGCCCAGGGTTGTGACAAGTGCAACAGAGATGGTAAATATAGCAAAAAGAAGAAGGAGGAAAAAGAAATGTGTGGTGCCGAAAAATAAGAATTAAGAAGAAAAAGCTTTCGGCACAGAGGAGGCTGATGCGCCAACTGTCAACTGTCACACTCTTACACTCCAATTTAATAATAATCTGGATCAAGCAACCACGTTCTTAACGAACTCCAGCACAGAGAGAGGAACAAGAAATATTAACACATTATAAACGCAGCAGTTTGGCAGGTCTGGACGCAGAATGGGACACATCAGGTTCGGATTCTGCAGACAGAGAACACACATGAGCACATCGGGTTCAATCCAAGTGTATGAATGTTAGTTTCTGTTTGAGCACTTGGGCTCAGTGGGAATGGTGAATGCAGATGTCGTGTAAAAGCGCTTTGAGTGGTTGAAAGTCGAAAGGTGCTATACAAATACGGAGCATTTACAACACATGGCCAAATGTTTTCTTAAAAATTCTCCAATGAAAACTGTCCTTTGGTTTAGTGAGAAAATAAATGTTTTAAACTCTTTAAGGAGAATCACAGGGCTTGGTTTATATCTGTTTCAACAGTGTCCACAAAACCACTATTGATATGTCAATGTGTTTAAACCCACACTTAGACTGTTTTTGGTATTTGGAATGGTTGTCCAATATGTGTGCCCTCTCTCTCTCTCTGTGTGTCTGGACCTTTGTCATCCAGGAGACTCTTTCCATTTGAGTGGATTTTGTTTATTTAACTGTTATCTATATTTGTTTGCACAGAATCTGTTGGTTCTTTTAGCTTGGTTTTTCATTTTTATATTGCTCCACCTCTTCTTCTGGTTTTGAGCCACTTAATAAAGTAACAGGAGGT